CTTGGACTTTCTCCAGTCGTTGAACTTCCACTAGGATGGCAGGTGAGTGATCTCGGGCGACTTTCCGCGGAACTAAAACCAATGGAATGCTGGAGGCCAAGGTCGCCAGGGGGCGTCAGGCGACGGTGTTTATGCAAAACCCGCACAACCGAACGGAATTTAAGGTTTAGTGTAACATAGCGCCGTGAAAGTTAAAAATATACATAGCAACATTTTACTCCAATTATTGTCAAACAGCTAAATCACATGCACTAAATGACAAGGTTTTATGTATATTTTAATAACAAGTAATAATGTCAACATATTAGTTTCAAAAAGATTGATCTTAAATTTGCGGAATTTGTTATTATTCTTTTTTTTTAATGTTCAATAAATTGCTGTTACTAGCGAGCTGTCAAGTAACATGCATAATATCTGTTTAAACAAAAATGAATTAATTAATTTAAATTGTAAATATATCACTGTAAATGTATCATATATAGTACATGTTCAATGATTTTTTTTCCACTTATTAAACTGTTAGTATAATACAATTAATTAAGGTTTTTAGTTGAGATAAAAAGTCAGTGTCGCAAGCGGGATTCGAACCCTTCGAACTAAAAACCTTAATTAATTGTAATATATCAATTGGTCAAGCGGACCACGAAATTAGTGAATTTAATGTTAGTATAATCCTATTCTCTCACCTTTATCCTTTTAAATATGTTGGAAGGTTTTTGTCAAGCTACATTTTAATTTTTTTAATTTGACAATATGTGTTTAATTTGTAAAATTCGTCGGGACGTGAGGTTTCTGATGTGCTAAATGCTGGTAGTGCTATCTTTTATAGATGGTTTATGTATTTTATATATATGGTCATATTAATTATTTGTGATAATGGGAAAAATTTAATCTTGGATGAAAGAAATATTTAAGTTTTTATGTGCAATTAGGTTTGATATATAAAATGAAGCATCGCATAATTTTCGTATGATTAAGGATTTGGCAGTTTGAATGCTTTAATGCTTGGCTGAACCCGACATGTTCAGTCCATGTCTTTTCATTAGGCCATTTATATTTAAGAGATAAATGAAAAATGGCAAAAAGGAAGGAAAATTCAAAAGATGCGGTTGAGATGGGAAGTTGGTGTCCGAGTGGATTGAGGTTGCGATAGCTCAAGTGTTAAAGCAGCGGCGTATCAAGCCGAAGATCGTGGGTTCGAATCCCGCTCGTGCCATTGACTTTTTTATCTCAACTAAAAATTTTAATTAATTGTAATATATCAATTGGTCAAGCGGACCACGAAATTAGGGAATTTAATAAATCAAAACGTCTGTCAAGAAGTCGTCCATGTATCGTGTCATAACCTCCTGACATTTGTCGTTGTACAGCCCGAGTCACTGCACCCTGACAGCAGTTGGGAGGATAATGTTATTAAATAGACATTAGGGGAGATCTTTTTTCGGAGAATGGAGGTAATGTGGGTGGATTTGTCTGTGTGAGTTTTTTCTAAATTAATTAATTTACTAGTTTTCACGAAGACTCTAGTAGTGTGACTTGCTGTTGAGGTTAAGTTGATCTGAAAACGTAACGCTAATGCGTACATGATGATGACTGGTAGAAATTTTGATCTTAAAAAAACAGTGTAGAAGATATTGAAAAAAGAAGGGAAATTACGTTCATGCGTACATGAGAGCAACTACAAAAAAAAAAAAAAAAATCTCATCAACTCAAAATTCAAAATCACTTGGTAACTTGGCAGTCCTTTTATAAAACTGAAAATTTATTCACATAATATTTTCCTTAGAAAAAGAATAAAAAGTCCCAACTTAAATTATTAACTTTTTTCAATTATCGGGTTGTCCGGAAAATAATGCAGGATTTTAAGTTTTCATTAAAAAAAATCTATATAAAATATTCTGTTTACGTTTACAGGATTACTCNACATTGCTTTAAAGTAACTAGTTTCTTTTTTTTTGTTTAATACCAAAATCCTGCATTATTTTCCGGACAACCCAATAATTAATGTTTATGAAAGGTATTGGTTGAGATCGAAAAAGTCAGTGTCACCAGCGGGATTCGAACACACGATCTTCGGCTAAATACGCCGCTGCTCTACCACTTGAGCTATCGTGACATTGATCCGCTAGGACACTAACTTCCCATCTCAACCTCATCTCTCGAATTTTTCCTCGTTTTAAATTATTATATTAAATATTATTGTATTATTAAATAATTAACCATGAATAATCGACACTAAAAAAATATAATCAATTAAGGTTTTTAGTTGAAATAAAAAAGTCAATGGCACGAGCGGGACTCGAACCAACGATCTTCGGCTTGATACGCCGCTGCTCTACCACTTGAGCTATCGTGACCTCGATCCACTCGGGCACTAACTTCCCATCTCAACTCCACCTTTTGAATTTTCCCTCCTTTTTGCCATTTTTCAAATGTCGTGTAATCTATTTGATTCTCGGCGACAAATGAAATGCTCACGGAGAGCTTTTAGTGAAGTATACTTCATTTTAAATCATTAAATTCACTAGTTTTCGTGGTCACATCATGCATAAGCTTTATTCTGTTACAATTATTCAAAGATAAAGGTGATATCAAATAATAACTAATACCACAGTAGAAAGAGTCAGTAGGCAAAGCAGTCTCTCTCTCTCTCTCTCTCTCTCTCTCTCTCTCTCTCTCTTTCTCTTTCTCTCTCTCTCTCTCTCTCATATATTTTATACCTCTCGAAACATGTAAGCTAAGATCTAAATAAGGAAATGTAAAATAAAAAATGAATTTAAATAAAGAAAAATAAGATGAATTTGTACTTCTACCATGTCCATGCCTTATAAAATGAGTTTCTTGATTGTTATATATATTAGGTTTATCCATTGAAGAAAGCCATAGTGGACAGTGGCAAAATTCACCGTCATAAATACCATTAATAACAAATCCACCAGCCGTACAGTTTCAGACCCCCCGGTGTCCCTTGAGAGCCCGCTCTCGTTTCCATTAACGACAATCATCCGTTGGGAAGTATTCCAGAGCTGTTGGACCGGTATCCGGATCTCGTCGAATGAAAGTGGAGCGCAAAACAAAATTCCAGAATGACATCGATAACGGATAGTTCCAATGATTATAAAGTACCGGGAGGGATCATCGCCTGATCATGCATCATCCGACAGCCGGAGCTAAACAACAGGCCTCAACATTTAAACATGTATAATTTCGTTCCTCACGTGATGCCCCGTAACTAAATCTCCAGTGGAGCGAGATATTCTTATTATTTTTCCCTTCTATTTGCACTTTACAATCAAAAACATCATTGTATGCAAATATTGCTAAATTTACTATATTAATTTTCAACTAAAAAATAATAACCGAACTATTTATTAGTTAAAAGTGCAATCTAATAGAATAAATTATTCTTTCCTTTTCTAGTTCCATTTATCATTTTTATAAATTATTCTCTATTTACATAGTATTACAAACCAAATCAACAAAACAGAAATTTTAAAAGTACGGGGATTCTACCGCTATTGGTATTATAAAATTTAGGCATTAGTTGATTAATAATTACGTATCAGTTTGGAAATACGTTTTTTTAGTAAACAAAAATATCAACTGATATTTATAAATTTGTATTTTAGAAAGACTTTTAAAATTGTACCCACATAAAACTTACTTATTCATTATGACCACCACCAACTACACGCAGAATAGCTAGATATGGCTCAGTTATGCTTTTATTTATAAAGTAATTTTTATTTATAAAAAGAGACCCACGCATTACTGTTCTGGGGAAACTAAACCGTGAAGATAATGAGTTTCTGTGTCCGTCAAGAATTTCCATCTCAAGAAATTCCTTTTGCGTCACGGTTTGTTCAATGTAACATCGAGGTTGAAATGTTTTTTCACGGTCCCTAAATAGCCATATCGTTTCATTTTGACTCTACGCGGCCAATTCAGTCTATTAAAACACATAATACGTAGGTATGTGCATCTATAAAAAATCCATGTCGAATACTACCGAAAATTTTCTAAGATTAATGAACTTTTAATTATACTGAATGCTTGTTGTTTATGCATGTGTGGTTAACATCCAATAATATCAACATTTAATTATAAATGTTCGTAAATCACTTTTAATTAAATTACGTTGGTTACAAAACTTTGAACAAAAATGGATATTAATTACAACCTATAAGCAAAACAGTTGCACAATATTCCTCCATTTAATTTTATTTACTGGCCGTTCAAAAAATAAAATTATTATTTGGAGGTCGTGAAATGCGGTCTGATGTGACGTACGTTTTAGAAAACTATTTTCTTTATTGTGCCAACGTTTCGATCTTTATTGACATCATCTTCAGAGCTCAAAGTGTTGTTTTCTGTGTAGATGTGTCATTCTTGTCTGTCGTGTTAAAGTGCCCAAACACGACGCATAAGAATGACACATCTACACAGAAATAAACACTTTGGGCTCTGAAGATGATCTTAATAAAGATCGAAACGTTGGCACGATAAAAAAATGTTTTTCTAAAACCTAGGTCACACCAGACCGCATCTCACGATCTACAAATAATCATTAACTAACGGTCACTAAATACCACACAAAATAAAATTATGTTTATTTATTCCATAATTATTATAGATTTCTAACTAATCTAAAAGATAGGTATTTAAAAACTGGCTGATGAAACGAGATTAGAGTTTTAATCATCCAGGTTCCTCTAGTCTCGCTTTTTCTTGTCAGATCCGTGTATTGTATATTTTCAATGAAACGTGCAGAATTACGAAGCATCCAAGAAATTTAAGTAGTGAATCACTACGAAAATGATTGATATCAAATTCATACAATATTTTTTCAATAAAAAAATTATTATTGCAAGATAATTAGCTGCAGTTAGTATAAAAAATTATATATTCAATATTATTTCAAACCGATGGTTGCAGTCTGGGGAATATACAAAAAATAAAAGAAAATACAAATTAAATTAAAAATAAAATGTTTATTAAAAAGTACAAAAATAATTCAATAATAACCTTCTATAAATCTTTTCAATTGTCTTTGGTTGCTTAGAAGTCGTTCAGGGCAAAACAACCAATAAAAAATTAACAAAATCGTCAATAAGAATTATCGAATAACAATTTTTTTCGCCCGAAGGGAAGAAGAAGAACAAGAAGAGATTTAATAAATATAATAAATAACGGTCATCGTCGTCTCGTCGTCACCCCTGAGAGCTCGTAGTACGTTGTGTACGTTTTACGTCAGTTTGTTTTAACGACTAGTATCGCTTAGGTCGGGTCATCGGTAATATGTCGTCGCGGTAATATGTACAGTACGGGTCCGAAGATCGATCCTCGTCCCATGTTTTTCCTCAAGGCCTCATCACACCGGATCTGAAACAGAATAGTTAATATATTAGTTTTTAACAGTCAGACAGAGGTGTCCTATAGGCCGTGAACACCGCAACTGTGTCCAGTAGGCTGTCGCGGGCAGTTGGCGTGAATAATTTTTTTATACGTGAACATTGAACGGGAATTCATCTCACAAAATAACCATGCAAATATGTTTATGTTGATAATTAAAAAATTCAAATTGCATTAACTTTTTTAAATTTGTGCTAGTATTACTCCTTGTATAAACTTTAAAACAGTGATTTTACTCGTATATTAATTAATCCTAATGGTGAGATATAGCTAATTAATGTTGACCTGTTTTTAAACAAGTTTAACCATAAGTTTAAACATTATAAACAGATGATACAAAGCTTTGAACATAAGCAATTTAATTACAACTTCATAAAATTGATGAATGGTATTCATTTTTCTTTTTTAATTGCCCACTTCTATGGTAGCCACTTTCGTAAGCAAAATTCAAAATTTTAAGTTATTATTTTGTTGTTACAGATTATTCAGACCTAATCTGCTTTTTAAGCAACACGATTTACTTATTGAAGAAGAAAGGTTCCTTAAAACCTTTGAGCAGACAGACAAACAAACATTTGAAGTATTTTAACAAAACAAATTTTTAAATTTCAGCTATCTTAACTGTTTTAATCTGGTTTATTGTGTTTAAAATGGTATGAGTTTAAATTTCATTTATAATATCTTATGTCCTTAAACAACTAAAAATTGGATAATAAAATATTTAAATTTGAATTTAATCTCGATGTGATTGATATCCTAATATCATACTTTTAAATAAAGATCAGGGATAAGGCCAAGTTGAACAAAAGAAAAGCCCTTATTTATTTTTTCAAGCTTTCGAAAAATTCCCTAATTTTCCCCTTTTATCAAGACTTCCAAACTATTTCTAGTAATTTAAACTGTTTACAAATAATGATAAAAATAAATACAAATGTAGGTGAACGAGTGGTTGATCTCGCTCACTCTACTAACTAAAATCCATAAATTTATTGGGTCGATGCCATTATGGCAAATATTATAACTTTATTCGAAGGTATTTCTAAGCAGTTTCCTCGAGAGCTTGAGAAAGGAACAGTATTTTTCTTTCTTTCAAATCCGTCTTATCCCGGATTTTTTAAATATATAATTTGAATATCATGCGAGTGGAACCTGTTGCAACATCTCGATGGAAAGGATTTCGAATCGAATCGAACACTCGAGGCAGAAATTTTTTCAAAATTATCAGTTGACGATCGTTTCAGACGTCTTGGCCAATCATTCTTGCCATAAAGGAGCTGCGTAAATTTCAGTGTTTATGAACTTTTGAGTAAAGTATATATATACATCACATCCTGTCTTCCTATTTTGAGAGTTGCCCTCCAAAAAAATGTTATCATGTGATAAAAAATGCCTTTATATGTATATTATAGAATAATATGTACGATGTTAGATATTTATTTTAAATAATTTCATGATTCTTTTGAAAGTAAATGATCATTTAAAATAATTAATATAAAATAAAATAGTTAAAATTTTCCCCACCTAGCATTTTGTTAAGATTTAATTGAACAGCTAATGTTCCTACACGGGATCTTTCAATGTTTCTTAACATTCAAGTTGTTTAAGTTTTGGCAATTTGGAGCTATGGTTATATTAAAAGGTTTGAATTTAAATTGAAATCCTGGAGTTTCGGAATTTAGGAAAATAATAAAATCATAAAAAATAATCAGATTGGATGTGAGGGTGAATTTAACATATTCGAGAAAACATACCAATTCAATGAACATATTATGAATAGTGAACATAATTAGACGTTGTTCCAACACTCAGAGATCGTTTATGCTACCAATTGAAAAAACAATAATAAATAAATTATTCTGGCCTCTCTACTACTCAGAGATTTTCAAGACAATGCCCTTGTCCTCTACTTAAATTGTTTTGTAAGTAGTGGTGTATCTGTCCTGTAAACGGAGGTGAGCCTTATATAGACGAGTCTCATATCGGAGTTCCCACTGAATTGGAACAAATATGGTAGGTAAATTTTTGGTTTAAAATGCATTAAAATACGTTTATGATTTTTGCATGTTTTTAATTTTAACCAAACTCCATACGTTTTTTCAAATTTTATTTTCTTGGCTTATCGTCCGTTAATCCCGTCCGTTGAAGAAACAGGAGGCCGAGCATAATCGGTAAAGCTCATATATCTAAACGTTAATAACAACTTTCAAAAATCCGTTAACAACTCTATTATTAAAAAAGAAAGATGAGAAAGAAAACGAGAATTAACGGTTATCCGGTTATCGTGAAATGTAATTTCGGTTTGAAACCAATCTTAAGAAACCGGTCGGTGTCCACGGCGTAAGAGCAATTAGCCAGGGTCACCTACAGCCCGCGGTGGACGACGTAGGTGTCAACAGGGGTTTCTGGGTTAGCGGATTTAAGCCGAGTGGGAGTATAACGGAAACCACCGGCTTGTTTACATGCGGCTCGAAAGGACAAGATAAATTTCTGTGTATTTTTATTTCCCCCGAGTCGGTAGTTCACAGAGGGTGACGGGGCAGGAGCGGCTTCCGCTCCCGGCGCCGAACTCTCCCGGAAACGGCTTTCTACCGCCGGCGCCATGTTCTTTGTGACCAACGGTCAGATGTGACTTGGAAAGTTATTAGTTGAAGAAAAGTCAAACAAAAATAGGCACTTCAAATGGAAAAAAGATCCCGGTATTCTTTCTATAACAAAACAGACCGATCAAAATCACAAAATGATATCAAAAAATTACTTTCTTATATATGTTTAGCGGTCATAATAAACATATTAATTATTTCAATTAATTATTCTTTTTATCATAGGTCTTGGTTGAGATGAAAAAGTTAGTATCACAAGCGGAATTCGAACCCACGACCTTCGGCTCAATACGCCGCTGCTCTAACCACTTGATCTATCATCACGAAATTTTCTCTAAATTACTTTTTTAGTGTGATTTTTAAGTTGAATGATTTAATCGAACTACCGAGTCCATCAAGTCTCACGAGATTTGATTTCGTTCAAACGCGTTTCAGCTTCACGAAGTTGACGAGAGAAACTTTTTTCCTGAGTTATTTGTTAAAGCACATATACTGCCAAAAATTAAGCACAGGAATCATTATATTATTCTAATTATTATTATTACCTTATTTTAGGCTAGATAACAACGGTGACCTTTGATCTTTTCGAAGCCATCATATGTGAAAATAATTTTTTATGCGTTTTAATTGTTTACAGTTTAACTGGAACAGCTAAGTAAAAAAAAAAGTCTTAACAATAAGATATTAGATATAACGTGTATTATGTATTTTTCTCTTCAATCTAAAGCGAAAATTTTAATTGTTTACATTTTAACTGGAGAAGTACAGGTAATTAAAAAAACATTAAATGTCTTAACAATAAGATCTTAGATATAACGCGTATTATGTATTTTTCCCTTCAATCTAAAGTGAAATTTTTAATTTATTCCATCACGCCGATAACGCAAATTACTCTGTTTTAATTGTTTACCCTAGTTTTCCGAGGTTTCTAGATCAAAACTATTAAAAACAAGAACTGGGAAACGGATAAGTCTGTGAGGCCCATCCCTCGGAGCCGTTATGTCCTTTGAATACGAGCTGTTCCAAAAACTCGATCACATGCACAGGATTTCAGCCCACTTCCATCAAAGGCAACCGGTTTCCGACCGTTAATTGGTTGATATATGATGGCGATCGGCTTTTTCCAGTCCACCACGGCGACCCGGATCCAAATTTGGCTAATCGTGGGGAGAAAACTCAAAAACAGGAAAGAGAAAGAGTGGTCGATAAGTAATAAACAAAAACATAAATTCTAACTACAATCAAACACGTTTTCTTCTGTCTAGGTATACATGAAAACGAAAAAATGAATGAATTCATTGTAATAATCATAAATCCACAGTCATAGCAAGTTTGTTGAGTATTTCATCCTATTTTTATTCTGACTTTGTTATTTGTTGTTATTAACCTTTAATATATCTGAAACTTAAAAGATTAAATTTAAATTTTAAAAAATATGCGTAAATTGTTTTTTTTTTTTTTTAAGTTCGTTAAAAGGGATTGCCCTTTGAGAAATGATGTGTTTATAGTTCCAATGCCTAGTGATAATAACTTTCCTACAAGATAGTTAAAATTGTTATGATACCGAAGGGCGAGCATAGTTAAATATTTATGCGGTCTCATAGATAAACCAGTTTGCTAACCTTTTAAGAGCTGTTCAGTTGATTCGACCGATTATCCCGGCGGATGTACGACTCGGCCATTGTTCCGTGCAAGTCATCCCGGCTAAGTATTTGACACACTGACCTCCAAATGCGTATTAAAAGGGGGCGGGGAGCTTAATCTTTCTCGCTATTCTATCGAAGTGGGTCGCAGTTTATTTGCTGCAAGTGGCACGGGTTGAAAGAAGAAAAAACAACAAATACTTATATGGAGGAATTGGGATTTCTACTGCCTATATTCATCTATGGAAAACATCTAAATCATATAAGGAAAACTAATATAAAAAAAGGGAGACATCAAAAATTATGGTTCATTTCACTGCATTCTTGTGAACAAAAGATGTTTTTGGTCGAATGTGATCGTTTATTCAGGTTCATTGCGCGATTAAATAAAAACAATTGATCGTGACCTAGTGTTTTGCATTTAACTTACGCGATCTTTGCAGCTTTTATCTTAATTTGTAAATATTTATAAAGATTGATTCATCAAGATAAAGAGATGAAATAAGTGTGTCTGCAAAGTAAAGAAAGACGAAACGAAGTTTGATTAAACTTTGATGATTTCGGTGGCCATTGCATAGTCTTCGATTTAAAAACAGACAGCTTATAGTATTTTTGTTCCTCCCTTTGTCTCTTTAACCGTGTGGGCCATTTTGTTGTATGACCGTAAATCTTTCCTTAAGGAAAGTCGATTGCAAAAAAAGACGAAGCTAAAAAGATAAATATGATATATGGAAAAACTAATACAACATATTTCAGTAGAAAAAAATCAGTGAGACAAATCTCTCTCGTTCTCTCAATACTCATCTCTCTCCTTTCGATACGAAGGTAAGAAGAAAAAGTGAAAGAAGATAGGGAAAGAAGTCAGAGAGTGAGTGAGATATGTATAAATAGAGTAGATAGAGAGAAAGAGAGAGATATAGAAAAATATTGAGTGAAACTATTTGGACCAATCATTTCATAATAAAAGTTGATTTCGGAAAAAGACGATCAGTGAAAATGAAGATCATATCAGGAAATAAGTAATACTTATTTAGTAGAAAATGTCAGTCAGGCAAATCAGTTTCTCTTACACACACACACACACACACACACATACACACACTCTCTCTCTCTCTCTCTCTCTCTCTATACCCCCTTCCAAGGGGAAAGACAGTGAGCGCGCGAGAGAGAGAGAGAGAGAGAGAGAGAGAGAGAGAGAGAGAGAGGACAGAGAAAGAGACAGATTGAGTGAAACATTGTGGATGAATTTTTATGATAGGTTTAACCGTGCAATATTTTCATATTAAAAGATGATTACGAGAAATGACGATCAATGAAAGATAAAGATAACATCAGGAAATAACTAATGCTACAGTAGAAAAAGACAGACAAAGCAACCCCTCCCTCTCTTTCGCTCACTCTCTCCCTCTCTCTCTCTCACTCACTCACTCCCTCCCTTTCGCTCTCTCTTTCTCTTAATGTAAAACCTTATACCTAACATTTTGGAAGATAGAAAGAGTGTTAGAAGAAAAAAAAGAGGTCGATACCAAGCAAATATTAACTCACCTTTAAATCAATTTATATAAATTTTTTTAATTTAATGGTTTGCTTTTATATTTAATAATTTCACAATTTATGAACGGCTCTGAAGGGCTTGGAAACATTAGAATAGTATCTCCAAGTGTACATAGGTTAAGGTCATATTGGCCAGTTTTTTTTTTTTTTTTTGCTGCACTCACACACACTTGGTCAATTACATATCCGCTAATTAATAAATTAATTAAAGTACAAAATGATTTGAAAAAAATTAATTTCTGTTTCATGCCTATGGTTGCTGTTTACTTTTAAGGGTAAATAATCTTTGACATGTAGCGTTTTTAAAACCGAATCGTAGCACTAACGTAGATGACTAGGAGAATCCGGCCACAACTACTATTTTATTAAATATCATTTAATTGAGACAAAATTGAAACGTAGTTGATTGAATTTTCGCTTTGTATCGACACCGCCGATGGATGGAGTTTAAATGATGGATAAGTCACGTTTCACGCCTTGGAATTGGTAGGTTGAAACCTGCGTCAGTACTGAAATCGCGAACCTGATCTAACAAAGAGTTCAAACGATTGTCGACACGTTAAAACGTGCACTCGGTAGTTTTAAAAGCGCAATATACTCTTTATTATCTTTTATTTCTCCGAACAATATGCGACTAAAACACGTTTAGCGTTTATACCGTTTTTTTTTTGTTTGTCAGTACGTGAAAGGGGTCGCAAGGGCATTTCACGAAATGGGCATTCCACTACGTTTAATGAAGTGTCGGCTTTTATAGAACAGCTTCTTTACCGTAAGTTGAGAAAGTAACGGCACACCCAAATATCCGCGTCCTGGTATTTTAAGTAAATAAACACAGCAACTGTAAATTTGTAACCTTAAACTAACCTTAAATTAACCTTGAAATTCAATACAGCAGCGGAAATACAAACAATATCGAATATTTATATTTCATTGCCGGATTATTTAATAAAATTAAAAAATTTATTTTTTTAGGTTATGGGCCGAATGGTAAGGCGACCGACTCGTTTTCCAGCCGAGCGTTCTGGGTTCAGCATAGCCCATGGATATTTATTTGGAATGGTATAAAAAAATTGTAAATCGGTTGAAACCCTCGTTGGTGACACCAAATCGGAAGTTCGACGTTAAGCCTTCCTGCAGTAGTAATTACTTTACTTCTTATTATTACTTTACTTAATTCATTCTTATATATAGAAAATATGCTAAACACGACTTTATGAGGTTAGAACTTGGAACAACTTAATTCTTATTAAATCCATTATTTTTAGTGGCCTAATTGACCAAATGAATGCATAAGAATTAAGTATTCTTTTTATGTAAGGTCTTGGTTGAGGTGAAAAAGCTAATGTCACGAGCGAGATTCGAACCCACGACCTTCGGCTTTGAGGGGGGGGTTCGAATCCCGCTCGTGACATTAGCTTTTTCACCTCAACCAAGACCTTACATAAAAAGAATACTTAATTCTTATGCATTCATTAAAATTTTTTAAAACATTTTATTTTTAACACTTAAATACGTTGAACCGTCGCGTCGTGGGTCCGTTTACACTCGCTTCATTGAGGAATTTCATCCTTTCAGTTCTTCATTAAAGATGTAAGCTAGAATAAGTTATTTTTAAAATATTTTTTATAGTATCAATTTTACATTAAGAAAAGTAACATAATTTTGTTTACTTTTTAATTTGATTGATTTTATATGATCGTGATTTAAATTTTAAATTTCAAGATTAAAGTGGGTTTAAGTTCAGGTTTTATTTGACCAAAATATTTTGCTGTATCGTCAAAAATTCTCAGTCGAACCAAAATAAAATACGGAAACTGCAGAATTTTGTGTTATGTTTCAGATTTATTTTATATAAGTAATAAATATTTTTCTGCCCTGAACTTTCCTTTGGCCATTTGAAAGACTATAAATTTAGGCTATTTTCAAAGTCAATTGCTTGAATATATGATGTGGCCCCATTTAGCCCTAACCGTAAACGTGATTCATCTCTTGAAAATTTTGTTTAGTCACATTTCTCTTATTTTATGTAAAATATCGTGGATTTTGATTGTAAATCAAATAGCCTTCTTCTAGTCGGTGAAATGTTACAATAAATAATTAATTATTAACAAATCCGGAGATTTATTTCGAAATTTTATCCAAAAACTAATGTCTAATGTTCTGCTATTTCTACATTAAACAATGGTATGTCTATGCTAAACGAATGGTGACATGAAAAGCATACATCGTTTAACTTTTTTGTTAGGAGTTCATCACATTCTTAAGAGCATCAGCTTTATTACAGACTTAATATACATTGTTTTGTAAATATATTCTGTCCATCCATTAATTTTTATCTTTAAAAATTTTGAGTAGTCCAAAATCTTTTTTCTTTGCATTTTGTTATTTTAGTTAAACCCATAGATGTTCAATTTTGATGTTGAGGTATTCAGAGAATTTAACTTTTCTTTGAATCAATTAATTAGTCTTTTTATGTAAGGTCTTGGTTGAGATGAAAAAGTTAGTATCACGATCGGGATTCGAACCCACGACCTTCGGCTCAATACGCCGCTGCTCTAAAAACTAGAGCTATCGTGACTTCGATCTACTCGGGCACCAACTCCCCGTCTCAACTTACAACCTTTCGCATTTTACCTCTTTTCTTTGAATATTATTTAGCTCGTTATAACTTATAATAACGTTAAGTACTTGGTAAAATTAATTACTAATTTAATGAATTTAGAAAATATAAATATTAATACTTGGTTTCTATAAAAATAAAATCACTGTTTTTTAAAGTTAAGACTGGCAAAACGCATATTTTTGCCCTTCGATAACGCAATATGCCACGTTTTCTAGGAAACAACCCTCACACCAGATATTTCGGAAAATTTTTGAAAATTTTCGGTGAGAATCTCACCTCAGTATCTACCTTGATGCCGGTTTCTGTCCCGAGTAGGCGATAGTGTGGGCAACGTTATTGGAGTAGGAACCGTGAGCGTCGTGTCCACCTCCGTAGCTTTCCCATCCTCCGGCGCTGTAACCGCCGACTCCGCCGCCGCCTCCGTATCCTCCGGACCAGCCGTGAGACACCTCGTGCACCTGAAACATCGAAGTTTACCATCCGTCCACGTAATCAACGGTGTCCGTCCTTACCTCGTGTCCTCCTTGATGGCTGAGGAGTTTCTTCACGGCGATGAACCCGGCGATGGCCAAGGAGACGATGGAAGCTAACAAAGCCTTCTTTGCGATCAAAGCGATCACGAAGTACGAGAGGACGAGGAAACCTCCCAATTTCAATTTTAGACCGAGGAGGAGCGGGAGCAAAGCGCGGAGGATCTTCTTCTTCTTTCCTCTTCCTGCATTTTTCAACCAATTAAAATATATTTAATTTGGAAATTTCATATCGATTTACCTTCATTGAGGAAAGAAGACACTCCTTCCTTAACTTCAGTCGGGATGGAATCGGAGATGCTCCTTCCTACAGAAGTGATGTCGCTGACCAAGGGAGTCAAGTTCCATGTCAGGCTCCTCTCTTCGAGAAGTTTTCCAGCCCGACCGAGTGCGAAGTTTTCCAGCGCGTCTTCCCTAGCTTCGACGTCGTTCACGGAATTGAGCTTGTTCTCGACATCCGAATCCTCTTTGAGACTCCTGGCCCTCTCTTCGGCCGGCACTTGCTTCTTGGTGAGGGCCAAGCCGCCGAACAGTTCGATCTTCTCCTGGTCGAAAAATCCTTTCGCTTTTCGGTAAAGTTCCAATTGAATGCACGATATAGAATCCTTTCTGAAGCATTCCTCGAGTTCGGCCGACGCGAGGGTCGCTAACACTAAAACGACGACGTACTTCATGTTTCGGTTGTCGGTTTCTGTTGCCGGCGAACGCTCCCTCTTTGCTTTTATAACTGCGCGCCCCTCTCCGGGCCGCGAGCTCCCTCCGGTCTCGACCGAATAGAGTCAGCCCTGAGGAAAGCTCGTCCACACCCTTACATGGGCTCATACCTTTGACTTAAGGAGCGAAATTTCAGTATCAATGATGGTTTAAAGAAATGTCTTTTCACCAGAAATTTATCTCTTTACTTCATTTATCTTCCAATAGGAGCATTACTTTCATTAAATTTATTTCATTTTCATGTGCAATATGGGAAAAATTAACTTCTAACAAATATTAACTTTGCTAAATTTATATTTGTGAAGGAAAAACAATCCAATAAACAGCACAGTCTACAATCCAAAAATTTAAATTATTTTCGAATTCAAGAGAGCAGGAATTACGTTGAGTAAACTCAACCTATTTTTATGGTTAACTCATTATAATTTTTTAAATTAATTCTCGAAAGGTTATCATGATTGTTATTAGGGTATAAATACAGTGCTGTATGATTATTGAATAAATACCAATTAAGATTAGGAAACGATTAGCGATTTGTGAACCATACCCTCACCCACACTTTTCCCTTCGTTCTTCTTTCTTCAGTTATTATCAAAATAAAGTATTTCCGTAAATTTATAATTTCAAAAAAATTGTCGTTAAATAAACATTGTGTAAGTTTAATAGATTTATATCGAAAAATTAGTCAAACAAAAAATCACAGTATACTCTATGAAGTTATCTTAATTTTAGGAAATGTGTATAATTATGTAAGTACATATGTATACATGTGTCTCACTGAGTGAGACAATTTTTTTATATTATTTTGCAGTTTAGTTTTACTGTTATCGTTATTTTCGAGTGTTATTATTTACCATTTTTTTGCCTACTTCGTACCTCAGGTTAAGACAGATCAGCACAAGGTCCTGGCCGAGTAAGACGTCTAAGTTCATCAATTAATTTATTAATCCATATATGTAATTATTAATCATAATTGACCTTATAATTACTTCAATTAATTTTTCATTTTGTCAAAGTTTTGATTAAGATGAAAAAGCTAGTGTCCAGTGCAGGATTGGAACCAATCCCTAACCGAAGTCCTAGTGTTTTCATCGTAACCAAGACATTAGAGTAAGTAAGTAAAAAGTATAATTAATTAAATTTATTTGTTATTCGTCCTGTGAATAAATTCATAAGCATACTCTTTGATCTGTCGACTATTTTGTTAGCTACAAAATAAGAACTTTTCAAATATTTAAAGTAATATTTTCTATTTTATTTTATGTAAGAGTAGAATTACTTCATTTTATTTTTGTCAAATCAATAAAATCATTGCTGATGAAAATAAAATTTATGATTGTTTAGCATACCTAATTTTAATAGTTTTCGTTTTTTAAAGTCTAACCGTGATTACAATTTTAAATTTTGTTTTGTTGTTACAGATATTATTATAAAAGTTATCTGGCAAATTTAAAATAATTTAAGTCGGACCGATGTCCTATGGAAAGCTTGGCCTTAAAAATCTCATGTAATTTGTGCCCATCCCTGCTCTTGGAGCAATTGAAAATGTATTGCGACAAATGTACCGAGTGTGTTATGTACTGAAATACCAATTGTCTACTCAATTATCCCATTATAATAAATAATTATAATGGCACTCTCAACACGACACGAAGAATGGCACAATTACGCAGAAAACAAACACTTTGAGCCCTGAAGATGATCTCAATAAAGATCGAAACGTTGGCACGATAAAGAAAATGTTTTTCTGAAACCTACATCACGCCAGACCGCATCTCACGATTTCTGAAAAATCAACGACTAACGGTCACTAATCACAACACTTTATAATAAATCGTCTATTTTAAGATAAAGTTATACTCATTAATAGATTTGAAAAATTCTAGATTTACTTCCAGCATAAACACACGATTTTTTATTTTTTCTTTTAACGGTGGAAATTGGGTTTTAGTTTGCCAACTTAATTACGTTTAAAAAAATATTCAAAGCAATAAAATAGTAAAAAAATTGGTAGTTATATAATTAGTACTTTAAAAGTTTTGCGTAACGTTAGTGTTTAATACAACGAGTAAATTTATTTTCTATCAATTTCTTTATCATCCTTAAAAATTGCAATAATCATAATTAACATAATAAAAAAGTAAAAACTCAAGCATTAATTATTTGGTGAAAAAAATCAAGATACCCTTCTGCCAGTCGGTCGAATAGGACAAAACCCAGATTAATAACAATCACACGGTGAAATGGTCACGAATACAGTTGTGGGGATAAAATTGTATATTTTTGACGATCAGAATTTGCTTTGAGATTAATGAATACCTATCAGATCTTTCCAATTCCTCGTGGAGTCCAGTTTTTGAGAATTAATCAATTTTTCTGTATGCTGTCTCATCTTGAAGAGAGAGAAAGAGAGCGAGATAGATAGATAGATAGATAGATAGATATATATATAGATAGAGAGAGAGAGTGAGAATTCATTATTCTGTGATTAGAGTCCCCTCAGAATAACAATAAGGTCACAAAATTGTTAATAAATCTGACACTTGAATTAACGAAAGATTGTCGTGAACGTATAGTTAAATAAATTGACAGAAAACACATAATAAAAATAGGAAAAATTAGAAATAATAGTACTGTAGTTAACGCAGCACCATTAAGTAAAGACTATATAAAAATGAGTTATTAATAATAATATTTTATTAGGTTAAATGTGGGAATTTTTGTTTAACTGAGTCATTTGATCAGAAAGCACGTGCGGTTTTATCGTTATACAGACAGGTTTTTTTTTGCGAAACTATCTGAAACACTGCTTATAAAATCTAATAAAAAGTAATCATATTTAGCCGTTCCATGAACAATAAAAGCTCATAAACATGACATAATTATAACGTTTTTGTTTTCGTCATCACTGCTCCTTTATGCAATTTTACCATTGCCGATTCATAAAATGACGAATCTTTTCGTATATAATTTTAAAAGTTAACTTAAAATAACGACAGTTTTTATTAATTAGGTAAAAGTCATAATTAAATATTTGCTCGTTTGGGAGGCGGAGTTCTCTTGGTAAATAGTTAAGAAGGATATGTGCTCGTCCCACTGGACTCATTTTTATCTCCGAGGTTCAGATATAGCACATTTTAAGCCATAATAGGACATCTATGGTTTGGATGGTTTTTGTGTGAAAACAATTCAGTCGATTTTTTTTTTATTTACTTCTTCTATCACAAAAACACATTCTTGTCCGATGGGCAAGACAACGCCCGAAAATAAATTGTCGTTTGCACGGTATTAGAACGGAAAGCGCGTTCGGATTATTTCAGAATATTTTCAAACATATATTTTTAATGACTACTAATGCAATAAATTTGCAATGTTTTTTTTTTTTAATTGTCAAAAGTATAATACAAATTATGTAGAAATCGTTTTAATTTTTTAAAACGGTGACAAAATATTATATAAAAAGTTTGTGAAATTTGTATTTGTTACTCAAATGTTATGTCAAATATTTGGAATCATTGTTGCCGAATAATTATGAAATATAAATATAAATAGATAGATAGATAGAGATGGAGATAGAGATGTAGGGAGATAGATAGAAAGAGTGAGAGAGTAATTATACGAACTTGGGTTAAAGAAAACAAAAGCTAGAAATGAGACGCAGAGTAACATGAAGAGAATGATAATAAGAAAGGAAAGATAGTGACAGAAATGGAAGAGTAGAAGAGAAAGATGAAAATATAAATAAAGAAAGATAGTGGACGAAAACGAGGGGTAAAGCATGAGGGGAAGAGAAATAAATCAAAAGTTTGAAAGAGAAAAGAGGGAGGGAGAGAGAGAGAGAGAGAGAGAGAGAGAGAGAGAGAGAGAGAGAGAAAGAGAGAGAGAGTGAGAGAGAAAAAGAGTGGGGGAGAGTGAATGGCGGGATAGAGGGAGGGAAATAGGAAGAGGGAGACAGGGAATGTATGAATGAGGGTTATAGAAAATGAGAACGACTTAAAAAAGAATGAGCAAAATTTGAAAATTCAGAAACAGACTCGTTGACGAAGGCGAAATGTGTGTGATAGACCATCACCGAGAGATCGGCAGACGAAAATGATCGGTGATAATCAAAATTCTGATTCATCACTCGAAAGCGAACATGGAGAAATCCTACAATTATGAAAAAAAATGTTTGGGAGAAAGAGTGAGAGGGGGAGAGAGAGTGAGAAAGAAAAGCAGAGAGAACAATGTGATAGTATAAGAAAGGAAACAGAGTGAGAGAGAAAGAGAAACAATGAGACCAAAAAAGACAGATACAGTGATACTTAAAAAAGTTCGAATTGAGACAAAGAGAGAGAGAGAGAGAAAGGAAACAGAGAGAGAGAGAGAGAGAGAGAGAGAGAGAGAGAGAGAGGGAGGAAGTGTGTGTGTGGTTCTTTAACTTTTGGACCGAATAAAATTGAACAGCATTTTTCCCGTTTTCTCAAAGAAATCATTATATTAGTCTATTACAAAATCAAGTTTACAAGAGAAATTCAGTGACTTTCTGTTCGTCGTATTAATTGTCCATTATATTTTTTCTTTTTAATTTTCTTTTTTTCTACCACTTTTCCATTCTGTCAATCCCGTATTGTGAAAGTGAAGTGTTTCCTTGCGTGACCATTAAATTCTACCTGACGGACATCGCATCCGAGCAATCCATCGTGAGCCAATTGTGAACCCTATTCAACGGGCCTGCGTCTTCAATGGATGTTTGCCTGGTGCTTTTGTGCCCGATTGGCTCCGAATGGAAAAAGTTTCGATGATTTTCAACGAGGTTTTTTTTTATTATTCTTTTAAACGACATAACCGTACTCGGAAGAAGAGTTGTGGACTAAAGAAAGCAAAAGAACAACAATCCAAACATTTTCAACTGACAAAGTCTGCGATGTTATTTATTTTCTTCCATTTTCAAGGAATGAGGATATGATCTAAATAAAAGTAAAATT